GGAACTGCTTAGGGGAAGCAACAGAGATGTGGGTTAAGCAATTATTGCCTCTCTCTCTTTGCCTCACTTGAACCCTACCGAGCGGGATTTCGCGGAAATAATTAATGATGTTTATGTCATCGGAAACAAGTTCTTAAAACAACAATCTTTCGGTGAGAATTATTTTTGTAGATGACAGAAGGAAGATTGATTCATTCTGTGGCCGAGTTTGTACTTGATTAATTGAATGTTACCTATATGTCCTTTTGTTGCACTATTTATTTAAACTTCGAGCACTATTGTTTCACTTGCACAGATCACGTCATTTTAATCAGCGCGGTTGGCCCTGTTCTTATTACAAAGCGATGGTGCCATTCCTCGAATCGTGTCTGGACAGGCAAGTGGCAGTTCCAAACTGTCCAGAACTCCACAGCCCGCGTAATTATGTAACGTAATAGTAATAAAAAGTACAAATACAGGTCCTAGGACAAGTTGAACTTGAAAAAAAAATACCTATCTTATATCCGAATTTGCACTTTGTAATGAAAAATATTGTCACGTATCTGGGGTTGGCGTGACTAATAAGACGGGTCTTGGGTTTGACGATCGAATTTATTGGACCTTTATGCAACTGGTTACTACAGTTCACAAATCACTATTTGACACACAGCCATCTTTTTCTGACTGGACACTCCACTGGAACTGCTCTGACTTCCAACTGAACTGAACTGAACTCCACTACTCCCTTGTACTCCCTCGTACTCCTTCAATTCCCATTCTGATTTGAGTCAGAGTCAAAGTCAGAGTTACTTTACGAGTGGCGGTTTACCGCCAAGCAATTCGTATTGGCGCCAAGTCCCTTGAGATCCACGACCAATTGCGGTTATAATCATAATGTTACATCCTCTCGTCAAAGAGGATGAGACTGTCGTTTATAATCGCTGCTGGGCCTCGCCAGCTCAGTCATTCTCGGTCCCGCGGGACTCACGACCATATCTTACTGTCTCAGAGTTGAGTCTTCCTCAGTCTGGAAGGTCAGGTCCCCGTATTTACATCCCCCAGGAATTGGGTGGCTCAGTTACATCCCCGGGCACTGAGTTTCTTTCTCGTTGCCTCCTACGGCTCGCAGGGCTACGGTGGAGGTATTGGAACCCACCTCCATACTGGATTTCTGATTTTATTTTTTGTTCTGTACTGCTTATATAATCTTGAGGCGAACCCGTCCATTGCCTAGTAATGGATATATTCGAACCCATATAGAAATAACTTCGTGCAACACCGGTTCCACTGTTGCATGCAGTGCGGACGCTCCCTACAAATGGGTCTAGTCTGTTGTTGGTTGCATATTTTTTGCGGGCTTCTTTACCGAGTCGTTCCCTAGCGACGAGTCTACATGTCACAACATAAAGCTTTACGAACATGAATATTTCAAATATAAAACGTAGAAAATAAAGAGTTGTATATTCTGAGATACAAGGCTATGTGGTCCGTTGAAAGTCAACCGAAGTTTCGGAGAACATATCGCCTACATCTTCAGGATCGAAGAATAAGACTAGCAAGAAACATGCGTGATGCAGCTAGCAAGTAGAGCTCCGCTTATTCTTAGAACCTGAAGACAGAGGCGACATATTTCTCCGAAACGTCCATTGTCTTTCAACGGACTATACTACATTATATTCAAGAAGGTAGAATTCTTCTTAACTATCGTTGTGATAACCTCAAATCGTAGAAATATAAAAATAGATTCTCAAACAATATGATACTATATAAAATAAATGGAAATACATATTTAATTAATGAAATGAGCAAGACTAAAACTGCACCAAGTCCACCAATTTTGTTGATACGGGTGTGCAGTTACTGACTCCTAACATTGAACACTCTTTCAAAGTGTCGTTTGTGGGGCAGGGGTGATATTTTCACCTGAAGATATTCAATGGCACTGGGCCGTCGAAACAAAGGAAAAGATTGCTTATGATTTTAGTAATGCCAATCAAAATACATACGATATATCAATCTTGTTACAGTACAGGGTGTCAGGATGAAAGGTATCCAAAATAAAGAATTATATCTCAGAACGCTTTTATTATACACGTCTATGGGTTACACCACTACAAAAGGAAACTACCAAAGTTTTTCTGAGTACATAACTTCCTCAATAAATTTCAATGTGGACTCTCTTGGTGGCGCGACAAATATCCAGACGGCATTTGGCCTCATTTCACGTTGCTTGAAGCACGTCTGGTGTTACCATAGCCACAGCGTCCCGTATGCGGGCTTTTAGGTGTTACAAGCCGTTATCTTAACCTGGTAGACAATGTTCTTCATATAACCCAACATGAGAAAATTTAGTGGGGTTAAATCTGGCGACCCAGGAGGCCAAGCGATTGGTCCACTTCTGCCGATCTATCTCCCAGCCATCACTCTGTCCAAGTGATTCCTAACATGGTGGCAGAAATATGGCGGGCATGCGCGTGAACCGGACATGTGAAAAAACTATCAGATTTTCCTCTTTCGATGACATAAACCGGATACTTGTATGACATTTATTTTCGGAGATATGTATATTTTTTATTTTTCATACCTTTCATTCGGACACCCGGTATATGTTTCGCTTCAAGGACAGTCATCAGGTTTAAGTAAATATGTAAATAATATATATCGTTACTGAACTGGACGCTTTAATAAGTCTATTTAAAAATATAGTATAATATATACTTGCTTTGCAATTCAGTTATTTATATTTATATATTTATTGATGCTGATTTCATGACTTGCATTAATTGTTTTCATATTTTGCACCCTGCAGTATGAGGCCATATCGATGTTTTTGAGGACATGGTCACAACGACGAAATAGATCGGTTATGAGTTCAATAAAATCAATTAAAATACATACGATGTTTAAGATATTCAAAGACATACATCGAGACTCATATGGACAATTAGAATAGGTGAAGGATGTAAAGGGAAAGACCAATTTTCTGATAATTTAATAATTTTCATCTCTCATTAAGCCGCATAGACTAACCTCGGAGACATCTGTACATTATGTGTAACAAAAATATTACCTATCACTCTCGCATTAGAGGGCCACATAAAATTCTCTCGTGAACCACTGGGAGATCGTGACCATAGTGTTGGGCACCCATATTCTAAAGTTTACGACAGCATTAGGGCAGCGTTATGTCGAAATATTTCCACTGGACGATGTATGTTTCGTGTATATGATATTTCGGAAGTGGGCTTTAAGTACATTTTCAGGTGTTTGGTTGTCGTTATGCTAACGGAGCTGTGTATGTTCTCTTACACTTAGTGGGGCGGTCTTCAGGGAATTCGTCCTGTTGTGTTATACATGAGCAGAATTAATCTGTTCATAAACGGTACAAATTATTCTATATATCATTTTATAATATACGCGACATTTTGTAATATGGATCCATAAAAAATGTCCGTGGCTTGAGTCCGCAAGCGAACTATACCGACCAAGAGACCGCCACTTGTCGGCGAGGTTAGTGCCAACATATTTATTTTTTTATGGATAGAAGGTGTCACGTGGTCAGCGCAACGGATTCCCACTGCCGTTAATCTCGGTTTCCTAGACCCATAACAATTCAATATTTTATGACTTTATATATTCTGTCGCCTGATGAAGGCTCCTTGAAGGCCGAAACTTGTTGTGTAGCTATACCACAAGTTAAATAATCTCAGTTGGCACAAATTTGGAAGTGAATTGTTTATTTGGTTGTTGTGTTGACGTATATATATAAACGATATATCATTGCGTAGGTTGGAATGGGACACAGAACCTTCCGAATGCTAAGATGATATGGCACAAACTACTAGACAGCTGTCATCATGCTTGCAGTCAGCTGAAGAAGGGAATATAGCCAACTCCTCAAATGCTGTACAACAATTATTATTTGCCTCGGACACTGGAATATGTCCAGGCTAATGTTGATACACGCCGGTCACGGTAGCCGAGCGGTCTAAGGCATGTACTGTCTTCGCTCGCTTGGAAACCGGGAACGTGGGTTCGAATTCCACTCAGGGCATGGATGTTTAGTTTGTGTGTGTGCGTTTTTCTGTGTTTGTATATAGGTAGAGGCCTTGCGACTAGCTGATCACCCGCCCAAGGAGTCCTACCGAATGTGTAAGATCTAGAAAAACCGAAGTGAACGTAGTTCATGGAGGTAGGCCTAGGCCCACTGGGGCTGCAGTGCCAAGGGGAAAAAAATGTTGATACACCTTATCATCAATGCCGTGACATTTTGTGGTTTCACTAATGTAAATTGATCGCAAGTTTTCAAATTTTGATTCGTTTTGGCGTTTATGTGTCTTCTGATTTATTTTTAATCGTATTTTCAAGGTTTATGGCTTCGTGACTAATAATAAACTGTGGTTGGATTCGATTATTTGATTTATTAACACCTTCTTATACAACCTCTCTTAATCACAATCAATTATAGCAGCTGACAGTCAATGATTGCCACTCGCTCCATTCTCTCTGGACCACGGCTGACTCATGATTTAAAATTGATATCCCAGGAAATGTTTGTCCAATCCACCTACATGGAAATGTGTTTGTCAACGGGTTCCCTAGCAATGGGTCCGCATGTTCCATGTCAGTAATTTCGATATCTTAACTTGCGTGCAGTCGTCACGTCCCTCAATTCTGTCACGAGACTGGACACTTACACGACCAGTAGCACAGAGAAATGGTACTGACTCTCGGTTAGGTACTCCTAAGCTGAGGCACGGAACTTTTGAAATCCTCTGAATGTGGGCTAAGCGTCCAGTCAATAGAGCACAGTTATAATTTTATTATAAACTGTCGAAGTAGGGCCAGGTGCTAGATGATTTCTCACCTCCACTATCATCATATGCTTTGTCCGCTTTTTCGCAACACACCCCTAAATATCTCATGGAGAATTTCTCCATTTATCTTTTGCAGATTCACATAAATTAAAACAGAATTACTTTTTTGCTTTCGTATGGTCCGGGGTTCCGTTCTGTCCCATCATGGAAGATGTGAGAGGAATATAAAACAAATTTGTTAATTACTTTGACCAAAGCAGTGCATAACAGTGTGGGAGAGTGTATTAGAGACATTCGAAGGCAGGCAATCAGACAGTACGTGTACACACTCAGCGACAAACAGCCATTCAGTGTCGACGTCAGACAGCAGCAAGTCAAACGAGGCAGCCGCCCGTCAAATTGTTTGTGTTTGCAGCGAGCAAGACAGTCACAAGCAACAGGTTTAATTCCATAGGAAGGTACAGACCACAGCTAAGTTTAAAGAATTGAATGTCCATATTCAGTTATTGAATCATTAAGATATATTGCTAATGAATTGAGATTTTATTTAATTAAATTTCTTAGACTGTTATATATATATATATATTGACCGGTAATTTTTTCATTCAATTAATGAGATATAATTGTCTTCATTTGCATAGTGTTCTGTTATCTTATGTTTGTTAATAAGTCAACCATAAGCAGAATTTTGTAAAGGTTTTGCAGTGATAATAATCAGGAACTTTGAATTTAATATTAGGGATATTTTCAGAGATCCAACACACTCCATTTTATTAAAGAGGTTCAGAAACGCACTGTAGACAACACTTTAGAACGAGGTATCGCGAACTTATTGAAAGCATAAAATATTTATTGCTATCATTACCTAGTTAAAGTCATACTTGAACAATATTGCAACACAGTGAGTTGAGTTATATGAAAGTTTTTCTTTATTGCTAGTGGGGTGGGACTAAGTCCCTTGTACTGCGGCCACTTCTGGCCTATTGTACCAGCCCCAGATGATAGGTGAGGGTGATCGTGGAGCAATTGGTGGAATGAAGACTGGCAGGGGAAACCGAAGTACTCGGAGAAAACCTGCCCCAGCGCCACTTTATCCACCATAAATCCCACTTAACCAGACCCGGGATCGAACCCGGTCCGCCGCGGTAGGAAGCTAGTGACTAACCGCTTGAGCTATGGCGCGGCCTGTTTGATACTTACTTCACATGCATCTACACTTCAGCACTAAAGAATGTTTGACATATGAAGTTAGAATACTGAACGATTTCATGAAACAAACTCCGTGGCCTGTAGTTCGCAAGCGATCTATACCAACCGAGTGACCGCCGCTTGTCGGTGAAGTTAGTGCCATTTTTTGCAGATAGAGTGTGTCACGTGGTCAGCGCAACGGATCCCCACGGCCGTTAATCTCGGTTTTCTAGACTGGAGCCACTATTTCCTTAAAATATCTCCTCAATTATCCTCACTAGGCTGAGTGGACGCCGTTCCAGACCCACTAGTTCTCAGAAAAAATCTCGTAGCGCCGGTAATCAAACCCGGGACCTCAGGATCTGTAGCCAGGAACTCTGACCAATTGACCACAGAGGCGGTCGATTTCATGAAACACGTACATAAAATAGGATGCGTGTTCTCACAGCGGTGGTCATGAAGAGTTCTGTCTTCTGGTATATAACACCGATATAAAGAAGAGTTTGCTTCCTGCTTCACGCCGATTCCTTGCTACTACACAGCTTTACATCCAAGAAGAAATGTCTTCAGATACAGACAGATTAAAATAATCGGTCGAAACATTAGTCTTGCCGTGTTTTGTCTAAGTTCAGAACCACACTGTGTCCTACAGAATCTGCCTTGAAAACACAAACTTTCAGTTGACAAGTGTTGATGGATCTGAATTTTATACTGGCGTCAAGAATTAAGGTTATGTACCTCTGTTTACCTTATTCGTACTCATAGCGTAGCATTTAGACACATACGAAACGTAGCCTTTACTTCGACAGAAACCTGTTGTCGGTGATTCGTGGTTTAAAGTCTTCTAACTGTGAATTCTGTTCCCTGAACATACAATAAATTGCACCGAACCCCAATTCTTCTGACGCTAATATTGCCTTAGCCTTGAAAATGATATTTCTTCTTCAACCTTTGTAATATTTCCGTCACCTGAATCTCGTTTGTGAAAATGGGGTACATTACATGAATTGTGACTGACATTAAGGCAGAGGCGAGGAGAAGGGATCTTCTGAGGTGTGTTCCCTCCTTCACTGCATCCTCTATTTACTGGTCTTCATCTGTTCCTGTGCACACTCACGCTCCTCAAGCTTATTCAGCTGGCTTATACACGAATACATTCCGTACACTCTGCTGTGCTTCTGAGAGTGAAGAAACTCTGAATTAAATTGAGCGAATAGAAGTTAACTTTCGACCGTTGGGAGCTTTAAAAGAGAAGTATAAAAGTTAGCAAACATTTCCACATGGTAAAAGGGGTTGAAAGGCAAGGGTGAAGCGAAGACAGAAAATATCTGATGAAATCCTAAGGAAAGTGACGTGCATTTAAATGAACCCCAGGTCTTCATGTCGAGAAGTCGTAATTGAAACAACAGACGTTTTACAGTCGCCTTTATGAAACTGCTTAAAGAAGTAAATTAAAAGACACTGTACTGAAAAGTTAGGTGCCTTCAGTTCGTTGAAAATTCTTACCAAAATATGACAGTGGAGGGTGTCCAACATAACTCAGTACAACATGCATGCATGTGTGTGTGTATATATGTATAGTCACGACTACATTACTGAGTGACTAATAATAATGGGTTCCGAATTGGATAATTTGATTTATTGGCTCTTCTTCACAATTACAACAGCTCACAGTCATTGACTGCCTAAAACTCGCTCCATTCCTTACTGGACTACGACTGTCTTCCCTTTTAGTCTTCCTTCTACTGACTGACTTGGTTCAGATTTACGTATCGGTTACTTCTGCTGTGCGAATCTGAGGATTGTGCGTGACTTATAAGACGGGTTTAGAGTCGAATGATTGGATGTATTGACACCTTATTCACTCAACTCGGAACTACAGGCAAATACATCGCTATCGCTCTTCTACACCGTTATGTACGCATTAGGGTTTTCATTCTTCACTAGTCGTATCCTGGCAACGGATTTATAACAATCTTCTCTTTTTGAATTATTCTTAATGGGGTGAGACTGAGTGTACTTGGTACGTCGGCCACTACTGGCCTATTGTACCACCCTATAACAGTCTTACTGCAACTTTAAATCGTATATGAAGTGTTCTTTTCACAGCCTAATGCCCTTCTTGCCATCATATTGCAACTGCCAACTCAATCCAATTCCAAGCTCGCATCCCGGCAGGCTGGTGTATGGAAACTCGAGTCTTCAATTCACTCTATGCTACTGAACACTCCATTATAACCACTTTGCACATACCACTCAGAAAATACATTCTTTGTTGTTAAGGAGACGTGTTTACGATCCGTTGTTTACCAGTGGATGTTCTATTGTTGCACGCGTTGGCTCCCGCGGGACTGTGTTTACCGAGTTATTGCCTAGCAATGGGCCTATGTGTAACAATATAGACTCCGCATACAGACATGTAAATAGTCACATTCGTGAGATCCTCAAATGACACGAATTAACTCTCGCTCCTGAGTAGGCTAGCCTCAGCCAAGTGTAAGAGATTTGTAATCTTCCGCGTCTGTTTGGAAAACAACTAGTCCTTGCAGAATGTACACAGTAGCTCGGGAACGTTCGCATGGTATCTCCTTCATTTAATTAATAGGAAAAGAGGAAGATTGAAGAAAAAGTGTATTGGACATGATACATGCGTTTAATTGCCTAAAATTGATGTTCGAAATATTCATCACTTCGGCCGATATTTAGCAGGTTTCGCTCGGATACGAGTGGAGACACATGTAAGTCTTCATGTACTCTGCCCGTCATTTTTATTATTTTAACTAAAATTGGAGGTTATCAACAAATTTGATTAAAATTTTCCAATATCAAATTTCATAAAAATCCGGTCAGAAATCTGAAGTTGTTTACGTAATAGACAGAAATACGCATTGACCTAACGAATTCAATAGGCGTTCCACACATTGCGAACCCACTTAAACGCATAGGGGTTCTCCAATACAAAATGACGCTTTGGGTTAATGGTCTAAGTTCCCTATTTAAAAAAATAATATGAGGCTTATGTGATCACTATGCTGTCTGTGTATCCGTCGGTGTTCCTGTATACACCTATATTTTCCATAGGGGCTCATGAGATCACCTTACTGCCAGTGTCCCCTCCCCCTAATCTTTTCTTTTCCTATGGGCTCTGTGTCGCATGAAAAGGTTTGTGAGAGCATATTTCTGTCTATGTGTCTGTGTACTATATTCCCCCATATTTTTTGTTTTCTCTGCGGTCCTCGTTGTACGAAAATAAAGTCGGCAATTAGTTCTCTTAAATTCTTTCATTTTATATATATTTTATTATTATTTCTATATTGCTTATACCTTTATATATGTTCCTGTGTTTACAGTCTAATCGTTTTTACAAATCCTTGAAAATTATGTGACCAGTTGGTGTGTAGATCCTCAAGTTGGTAACATCAATAAGTATAGTCGAACATTGGTTCTGACTAGGTTATTTCCCACACCTGTAACTGAGGTTCACCGCCTGCTGCTCGCTTTACGTGCTGCCTCATTCTTCCTTGTCTTATCCATACACTCTGAAGATGGAGGCAGTAATACTTCCGAAACTGCAGTAAATGTCTACCAGACTGCGTTACATTTATAGTCACCACCTAGGTACTTAAGAAGTGGCAAGCTCTGCCCACCAAGACACAAAACTTGGCCCCAGAATTCTTTTCGGCACTAATGAAGGAAAGCGAGTGCTAGAGAACAGAACAGCACAACCATAATCGCGATATGAATCTGTCGATTTTAATATAATATTGTTTGTAGTATTTTGTAGAAACGTATGACTCCGGTTACAATATCCCTGTTTTTAATTAATGTGAATTTTAAAGTTCCCTCTTAATGCGTTCAACCCTGAGGATGGTTTCATGAGACCAAAACATGCTGGGGTATTAGCAACTCGTGAAACAAACCACATGTACGTAGATGGTTCTTTACATATGACCCTAAAACAGAGTTTTTCCAAAGGTTTCTTCATCACTGATTTAGACGTCTTTCCGGACGTAAGGACTCGAGTTTTGATTATTTAAATTACAATCTAAACGGGAGAAACAAAGTAACTGGACGACGATCTACCAAAATATCACCTTATCAGCGAGAAATCCCACATGGTATTCCCTAGGATTGAACACGGGTCTTCGCGATAAGAAACCGGTGTTTAACCTCTAGAAAGTGAACATTTATTATAGTCCTAGTTATAAAAGGAAGTTGACAATACTCGTAAATGCAAAAACAAAACAAACTCCGTAGCCTGTAGTCCGCA